AGGATCCAATCTGAATTGGTCACTGGGACTAGAGATTTAGTCCTCCAAGCTTTCGGACTCGTTCTGGAGCCCATCTTCAGGAAACAACTCTCTAGCAGAGTGTGTCTAATTTATTTCTTTGTTGCTTTTGGGATTGGGGTATTGTTTCTTTTTTATTGTTTTTGTTTACCTGGTATGTGTAGTGAGGAAAGGTCATTAGGTATGCTTTCCTTGATCAGTCATTGCTTCTTTTCTTGAATAGTTTGTATAGAGCCACAATGGAGCAGTGGTTAGAGTGCAGTACTGCAGGCTACTTCTGTTGATCGCTGGCTGCCAGCAGTTTGGCAAATCAAATCTCACCAGGCCCAAGGTTGACTCAGCCTTCCATCCTTCCGAGGTGGGTAAAATGAGGACCCAGATTGTTGGGGGCAATATGCTGACTCTGTAAACCACTTAGAGAGGACTGTAAAGCACTGTGAAGCAGTATATAAGTCTAAGTGCTATTGCTATATGGAGTTTAACTTAATGTGTGATGTAGTGTCGTGCCTTTAGGAATTATCCTGAAATTTTGGTCTAAGATGTCTGTAGTCTCCCAGTTGAAACTGTGACTCAGCTTTCCAATGTGCTCTGGGATTAAATCATTCTCATTGTGTCTTCTGTATGTTGACATTTATAGATACATTCTCTCAGTTTTCTGCCTTTTGCTATATATAGTAGTTTTCACTATTCTTGTGTTGTATGCTGTAGATAATTTCTATTCTGTCTTCCTTGGTCATTAGGGTTTTTTTGTTTGTTTGTTTGTTTCATTAGGATGTTTGGGATAGATTATGTTGGGTTATGGATTACCATAATGATTTATGGGTACATCAAGACCATGTACTTCCATTGTACTCTTCGTACAAATGAAAAATGGGTATTTTGGCATTGGTTATGAATCTAGAATCCTGGTTTGTTGGTCCTAGTCAGAATTTGAAAGCTAGCAATGTTGATTTAGTTGGAAGAAATAAACCAGGATCTGAGATTGGTGAAAACATTAAACTAAACAGCGTAAAGAGTTTCACATTCCTACAAGAAATTTATATTACTTTCAGATTGCTGCAAGGAGACATAATTGATGTGTATAGGTGCATTTAGTGAGCAGGACTAGCCCATTCGTGCACAATGTTCCTTCCAAAAATTCAGATGAATGCTTCGTGAAAGGTGATATTTCAACTTCCTTTCAAGTAAATGAAAATATCTGGAAGTAGATGAAAGCAACATGTCTGGTGATGAAGGGTCAAATTAGAGCAATGGAAAAGCTAACATTTATATTATAAGCAGTGTTGCTGCATTATGAATAAGGTGACAAGATGCATTATTTATACATTTAATATATTGGGCTTCCTCATAAGTTATGATTTCTTTCTCTCTTTTTAAAAATGTGTTGCCAGTAGTAATGGGAAAAAAGACCAAACAACTGATTACAGTTATATACAAATGATTGGAAACTTGGAAAGTGTCCTTCTAGAAAGGGAAATTAGAACAATATTAAATTATGCACTGATTTGGAATTTGTAACTGAAGACTTTGATCCTTAGCAATAATCCATTTTTTACTGGGATTCAAAAATTTTGGTTGGTTATTGTGCATCCATCTTCCAAATTGTGTGACTCTTTGACAAAGGGAAAATATTTTTTGAATAATCACAATCTGGAAGAGATCTTTCAACTCTTAAGCATGTCTTAACAACCTAGATCCCATAGATTTTATTTTATAATTAATGCATTTTCAAGTTTATCAAAATGCTTTTTTAAAAATATGATACACAATCACCTATGTTTGTGCAGTCTTTAAATCAGAATAAGACCTACTTCATCTAACCAGTTTCAAAGCAATGGTAAAAATAACCAAATACAATCCACCACTCACAAATAGTTATTGGGTTCATTTCCCCCACTTTTTTTGGAGTCTATATATAGTGAAACAATTCTCCCAATAAATCAGTAAATAATTTTCATGATTCATTAATGGACAAATAGGCATATTTTGTTTTTATGTTCATATAGTATATGAATATAGCATGCTGGCTGGAGAATTCTGGGAGTTGGCATTCACACATCTTAAAGGTGCCAAGTTTGAAAGACACCTCAGCAGCACATAGAGTTTAAATAGTTATCATCAACTAATCACGTATTAATAATAATCTTTAACTGAATTGCACTATATACACTATAATATTTGGAAAGTAGAACTGTTGCCTACTAATGGCTTAAAGCTGTGACATACCATCAAAAAAGGATTCCGTCTTCAGAGGCCAACTAACATATTTTTTCATTGATTGACAGTTTAGTACAAATGCTAAAAGAACAGCTGTTATTTTCTGTATTCTAACAGAAGTTAGAAGCAAAAATACTTTGGTACCTCAGCAGCATATTCAGTAATTGTGATATGAGCTTTCATAAACAACATCATATTTTAACAGATCATACTGCTGTGAGCAAAAATTTCAAACTTTGACACAGAATGTTGGGAAAGATTTAAAACTACTTAGACTTTAAGAATAGCAATTGGATCCTACCCTAGCTTTCCAATTGGATAGGAATGTCGTATAAATTCATACTATTTGAGTAACTAAAATAACAACACTGTACTACTTCTAGTACACTACTTCTAGTACTTGGGGCTGCCCTTGAAGACCACTCAGAGGCTTCAGCTGGTGCAGAATGCGGCCGCACGGGTTGTGATGGGAGGATCCCGATACGTCCATGTTACACCTCTCCTGCGTGACTTGCATTGGCTGCCGGTTGCCCTCCAGGTGAGATTCAAGGTGCTGGTGATGACCTATAAAGCCATACATGGCTTAGGCCCAGGATATCTGTCAGACCATCTGCAACCAGCAACAGCTCCCCATCATCCAGTGCGTTCTCACAGGGAGGGCCTACTCAGGGTGCCGTCGGCTAGACAATGTCAGCTGGTGACCCCCAGAGGTAGAACTTTCTCTGTGGGTGCACCCACCCTTTGGAATCAACTCCCCCGGGGGCTCCGGTTGGCCCCTGACCTTCGCACTTTCCGCCGCGAACTAAAAACATGGCTGTTTAAATTGCCCAGCCTGGACTGATGAGTTTTGATTTTTAATGTATTTTAATATGAGTTTAATATGTATTTTAACATGTTTCTTACTTGGATTGAGATTGTATATCTTAATTGTTGTGAGCCGCCCTGAGTCCTATGAAGATAGGGCAGCATATAAATCTAATTAAAAAAAAAATACTTCAGAATTGTTCCTTCTAGTTAAGGAGGTGAAAAATCCCCCTATAAACTTTCCAAATGTTATAAGGGGGGAGGGAGGGAGAGAGAGGGAGAGAGGCACAGAGAGAGAGAGATCACACAGGAAAACTCAAAGCTAGTAATATCATTCTTTTTCCTTTCATCTAGAACAACTTCAACTCAAAATCTATCAAGTGTGGGATGATTCTTGTTTTTCTGCATTTATCAGCCAACTTCTATGTTTCCTGTTTGGCCTGCCATGAAACTACCTATGTTTCCCCCTGGAATTTGTCCAGATTGTTCACAACCACAAACTGATACAACATGGTTGCTAGTATCCAGCTGATTGAGTTCCCTTCAACCAATAAAAACTAAAAAAATTGCATGTCTGATGCAGTTTTCTGTCAAGATTGAATAGAATGCATATACCTCAACCATATTAGTATTTCTCTCTAAACTATATATATATTTTCCAGCTGAAGTATGTGTTGTTCCCATTCAGAAAAACAAGAAAAAATATTTTCTATATGTATCTGATAACTTTCCATAAAATGATATTCTTGCAATTTGTATATATTCAATTTTAGTTAGTAATGAACAGAAGAAGATATATATAAAAGAAACAACCAAAGAAACTTGAAGTATACACTACATTCTTCTTGCATAACACTGCTTACTTCCCAGTATATCTTGACTTTGATTTATCTCACAATCATCATAAAGGGGAACATATACACCCGTAAAAGAATCAAATGCCATTTCCTTTTTAAAACTCCTTTTAAATTACAGGATTATAACGTATACTTAAAGAAGCTTTACTTTATTTTTATTTATTTATTTCGTCAAGCATGTATTTATGACAGATATAAGTGTAAACATAATTATGAATACCTGAAAAGGATACGAATAAACAAAAACATTAGGACAGGGATGGTAGGCACGCTGGTGCACTTATGCACGCCCCTTACAGACCTCTTAGGAATGGGGTGAGGTCTATAGTAAACAGTCTAAGGTTAAAATTTTGGGGATTTGGGGAAGATTGAATCCTATAATTATGCAGTTATCTACAAATAGGAATAAACAAAAGTTAGTTAATAACAAATATAAATATTCCTTCTATAACAGTAATAATCTAACAAACCCTTTCATAATCACCAACTAAATTCTGTCATCCTCAAAAATAAGTAGTCCCAAGTATGACTTTGTACCTGTAATGGGCAGTAGAAATAAACTTGAGAAACAGTAAGAAAAGCCACAATCAAGAGAACAATCAGGTAAAAGAAAGTTGATTCAAAATTTGAAAAAAAAATCTCAGCTTTAAGTTCTCACAAAGATAAAGGGAAAGGGAGAAGCATATTCAACATATTCAGATTCAGATTTCAAGATTCTGTTACTGTAATTTTATAGAGAGTCACCTCCAGATGAGATGGATGGCATTATAAGTTGAATAAAAAATAAATAAATAAATGTAGCATTAGCATTGATTAACCTTGATTTCTTAGTTGAAAGGCTGACAATACCAGAGGTCACATTCTACATCTGATTTTTATCTCACTGCACTTGTGATGTAATCAGGCATTGGAGGATATTAGCATTTTGTTGCCATAGACATAAAACTTTCTAGTTGTCCTCCAATGTGCTGGTATCACCCATACCCATGGGAAAATAGATCCTTGGCCTGCCCCAAACTTCTGATGTGGACCAGTTGAGTTCCAAAGGGAGGCTGCAATTTTCCTTGATGAGACAGCCATTCTCCCAGGATACATTTTGATTCTCTGAGGAGCTCCAGGAAATGAAGTAGAAGAAGAAATGCCTAGAGGATCAGTTCTCAACCAGGGGACATATGGCCTAATATAGTTCAAGGGGTCCACAAGTGAAAAGCATGTTAACAGTACCATGGCACATGCCAAGTGGTGGAACAGAAAAGCAAAGTATATTATATTACTGCTTTACAGAAGAAAACGCAGCAGTCCCATGTCTGTACTCAGTAACAAGACCTGTTTGGGATGGGAGAAACAGGAGAAAATTGGGCAGAGTAGATACTCTATAGACCGATTCTATAGAACCGGTAGTAAAACCGGTGGGAGGCTCCGCCCACTGACCCTGACATCATCAGAAGTGATCTGCGCATGCGCAGAAGCAAGGCGCATGTGCAGAAGCAAGGTGCACATGCAGAAGCAAGGCACACACGCAGAAGCAAGGCGCACATGCAATCCCATTGCAAACCGGTAGTAAAGGTAAGTAGAACCCACATCTGCTCTACAGGTCTCTTCAATTAAAACTAATCTTGCAGGACTAAGGAAGCATCCTTCCTCTATCATGACCCCTGCCTTCTGGAACAGCATTTGTCAGAGATATGTCCCAGCCTTCAAATGCTCTGAAAGTCACTTAAGACCTGGCTTTCTTCCCAGGTCTGGGACTAGAGTGCTTGTGGAGCCCCTGGCAATTTTTTCCCCCTTGGAAATGATTTATGTGATTTTATCCAGGTGGTTGTGTTCCTTTTAAATTGTGTATTCTCTTCGATATTGTAAGCTGCCCAAACTCAGGTGGCCTCAAAATCCAATAAATAAATAAATAAATTACAAGCCTAAACAAAGGCAATGCTAGATTTGAGATTATATCATTAAACAGTATTCAAAATACCTTATAATAGATTAGTTCCAAATATAATCATACTTCAAACAGACTCAATGAAACTGCAAGTTAGTTGCCTGCAGCTGCATCAGTAACTTTAACATCAGACAAGAACACACAATTGTATAGCAATAAATAGTAACATCAGAAATAATGAATTGTTAAATATTAAGAATGAGAGGATCAATATACTTTCTTTTTGCCTAAATGGTAACTAGCCTTACCATTCTGGAAATCCCATGAATGAACCAAGCACATTTCACAATATCACAGCTATATATAGTAGGTTTCTTTTCCTGGGGACTTCTACCATATGGCAATGTCACAAAAGGTGAAGTCACACACTATATAGAAGCTACAAAAAAGTAATTATCAGTGGTATACCTAATGCCTAGATCAGGAGTGAAATGCTCCCGGTTCGGACCGGATCGCCTGATCCAGTAGCAATGGCAGCAGGTAGCAAAAATCCCTGCCCACCCCCCTTATCCATGCCCACCCAATCGCTCAGTCGTCTGCTTGCCCGCTTGCTGCTTCTTTTTAAAAATGCTTTTAAAAGGTAAAAAAAAAGGCTCTGACGATCACAGCTGAGCCGCCCAATCGTCAGAGCCTTTTTTTTTACTTTTAAAAGCATTTTTTTTACAACCTATTTGGCCGAATAGGTTGTAAAAAAAAATGCTTTTAAAAGTAAAAAAAAGATTGCGTGCCACAGCTGATCACCCCCTCTCAGTGCGCTGTTCTACTTACCCCATGCCTCCTTTTGGCATGTACTGCGTGCGCACGCACCTCGCATTTGGTGTGTGGTGCACACAGCGCATGCACGTTCAGATTTCACCACTGGCCTAGATCATTATTTAAGATCCACTTTGTCATTACTGAACTGCTGCCAAAGTTGTTTAGCACAGCAGCAGCAGCAGAGACCCAACTCTTCACCCATTGCCAACCCTCTCACAGCATCCTCGGTCCAATATGCACCCCATATTGCCTCAAACCAAGGCAGATCATTCCCTCTTCCCTGCCCTTGATATGCCAATAAGAAGTTAAGGAACTTGGTTTCCTCTGTCACCCTCAGATATGGAAGTTTCATGGGGGGAATATGGCACATATGACTGATTTTCTTCCTGAGGTGGAAGAGAAAATGACTATCTTTTCAGGTATTTGTGGTCTCCCCTACATAATGTGTCATCCAGAGGCATGGGGTGAAATATTACCCACACAGTGGCTTGATTCATGATTAATGAATTCATGCTAATCCTGGATTAGCATTATGTTTAGATGCTCCCATTCCTCCTCTTTCTTTATTTCTGAGGAAAATATGACAATATCTGGGGAAGGGAGAAATAATCACACGAGTCCATTAGACCCTCCACATTTTGTTGGCTTGAAAGAATAAACCTGTTCAGGCTTTCAGAAATCTCAACAGAACACTCAACTCCCTGCCAACATGGTTGAGATGGTGATGACTCCTATAAACACTTGAATTGCTAATGTCTACCAGCAAAATTGTTCACACAGAAGCCAACATGCATACCATAAGAAATGAAAAGAAAGAAATGTTTCTTCCACACACTTACACTCAACACACAAATGTGCACAGGAGGTGATACAATGCAAGTGACATCAGTTGGGGGCAGAAGCATCACTGGAGCACTTATGTTATAAATAGTCCACATTTCATAATGCCTGAATGGGCCTATTAACCTGGCTTCCTGAAATGCTGCATGTTTACCAGCTTGAGTAAAATAAAAATATATTTCCATTCCATTGCAGAATAAATAATTGGATCACAAACATCTAGTCGTTCATAAAAAATATTATTTTAAAGTACCGGTACAACTGTAGCTAGTGAGTATCTATTGGCATTCTACACCGCAAACACAGAAGAGAGCTTTGAAGTGCGAGGGCGGGGGGGGGGTGAACCCTCTCTGTAATAGGTTCTTAAATATTGCTATTTGGGATGGAAAAGATAAATTTCAAAGTGCTAGAACAGATCTCAGAACCCCATTAATAGAAATTAGAGGGAAAACTAATAGGAAAAGACAGAAAGAGAACATTCTTGCCATTGCTCCCTGGGGAAATGTGTAGACTGAAGGATGACACTTTATTTCTCTGAATCCCCACGAGTCCAATAGTCACAGCACTCACCCTGCAAATAATAATAATAATAAATACAGTCTGAAGTGATTCTGGCTATTCCAGGCTTAATAAATGGGCTGGAATAGTGGCAAATTCTGATCCATGAAACATCTTTTCAATAAAAACAGATAGGGTTGTTAATAATGTTAATGGAGTATCATACAGCTGAAAGGATTATACAGCTTATCATGCAGTTTTATTATTTTTAATAAGTATTCTCCTGTGTTCCTTCAGCTCCGCTCACATCTAATACCCTGCAGGAACACTTTATGCCAATATTTCTCTTTAGGGTTGAGGGTAGTAAATACTTAGCTGACCCTGGAGACTTTGTGCTTTTTGTTGAACTGTGGCTCCAGGCAGTTCATAAGCATAAGAGTAACCCTGAAAAAGAAAGCAAGAAGCTTTTTAGGCCTGCAATAATCAGCAGAAAGACTGCAATTAGAAGAGGAAAACGAAGTACCATTTCTGTTTGCTCAACCCATTCTCCTGGGCTCGTGACACATGGTTCTAAAATATGGAGGTTCCACTTAAGTAATCCCCAAAGAGAATTTTTATTTTCAGTAAATTTGTCTAATTATTCTTTTGATAAACTCAAGTAGATCATGAGTTTACTTCCCAAGAAAAATTGAGCTACCTGGAAATAAAAATACTGAGCTACAAGGAGGCATAGGAGGTCCTCAAGCTCCTTAGATATTCAGTTGGTCAACACGCATGAATTTTCTAGAAGAGCATTGAAGGAGCAGGGAGAGGGGAAAATTAGAAAAGAATATTGGAAGCATGAAAAGACAAGAGGGAATTATCTTTCACAAGCCCATAGCAATTTACAGTAAGTAGCTTTCCCTCATTAACAAAATGGCAGAAGAAACAAAGGTGAAAAAAGCCACCTTTAAGAAAGTTTAATACTAAAACTACAGGAGCATTTGTTTGCTAGATGTGCCTAGAATGATCTTTGGCAGAAGTCTGGTTGAAAATACAGGTAGTCCTTGACTTACAATCATTCATTCAGTAACCCATTCAAAATTATAACAGCATGAAAAAAGTGACTTATGACCCTCATAGCATTCTCACTTCCAGAAATGTTGTCTCCCGCTTATAAACTCCTCCTTCTTCGTTTTCATAATATTGTGTTAGCAAACTAATTGAAATCTCCCTGTATGGCTCCCATTCATGTGGTTGTTTTAGGGGGTACTCCAGGTATCAAAATACTGAGATGCCCAAGAGAATTGAAGACAGGTGACTTTTACTCTCGGTCTTTGGGACTTTCCCCTCTCCTTTTCAACTTTGGTTTATCTAAGATGCACTTGGTTAGCAAAAGGGGGGAAAAGAAGCTTGTTTCTCAGACTTGAGCATAGATACAAGAAAGAAATAATCAAAAGCCCAACTGCTTTATATCACTGTGCTTTCTTTGCAGAAGTTGCTGGGAGGGGAGAGAGAGGAGAAAGAAAATTATAGAGTAGCAGAGAAATGAAATGTTTGAACAGAAAATAATTTCCCTAACTTGTAGCCTGCAGGCATAACCTGTCATAACTCTGCATGAATTGAACAGTCAGGGAGTTCAAGTTTTCGGCAGCTTACCATAAACTAATATGTTTCATCACTTCATCTCTGGGTGACAGGCCTTTCCATGTGTTAGAAGACACACAAGAGTGCAAAGGAAAAGATGCCTTCTAATGGAGAACCATTGCATATATAAAGGTAAGGTCCAAAATAAGCTATTAAATTCCACCAAGTAGTTCCTGTTTTAAAAAGGCCAACTTCCAGATGTGTTCACAATGAGAATTATAGTCTCATAGTTTGCAGGCATCAGGTTTGAGAAAACTGAATTGTAATTGTCTCAAGGTCCAGATTTAAGGAGACCCTGATCAAAACATCCTTGATTACAGTCTCTTTTGGGGGTTAAAGATACGACAGAAAGAGGAACTGGAGCATAACATACAATTCACTTTTTTTTTTTCAAGAGAAATATTTTAACAAGCTTAGAAAAGTACTAGACAGGATTCTCTGAACAGAAATCCTGATATCAAAGAGAGTGATGAAAGTTGGGAACTTCACAGTAAGATGAGATACTTGAAGTATAATTATACAATATTTTAAAGAGGAATTTGAGGAATTTAGTAAATATCCTTAAGATCGTGACCACCTCAAAGCATTCAATAAAATAACCCATATAAATGAAGAAGACAGAAAAATGTCTAGCTACCATTAGGAAAGAGCTGACTCCACAATTATAGCCAATGAGTATACATAACCAATTTCATATTAAGCTGGAAATAAATGTCAAGTGTAGTATCCAAGAATTCCATTCAGTCCTGTATTTTCAATATATTTATAAATGAGGGATTAGAAAATACAATTTTCAGATTTGCATATGACACACCAAAATTATCACACCCAGTTGTGGACACCAGGTTTTAGGAAGAAAATTTTAAAAATGGTCCAGAGGCAGCAACCAAGATAATAAGGGCTCTGGAAGGAAAATTTATAACTAATAGTTGTAGATGCTAAGTATGCATGGAGAATATAGAAAACTGTGGAAAAGCTTATTCATTCTCTTCAAGTAATTGAAAGGCTATGGGGCAGAACTGTTCAGAGTTTTTTTCCAGAGAACAGGACAAGAAACAAAGTGTTTATATTACAAAGAGATGGATTTGGGGTGAATATCAGAAAATAAATCCTAAACAAATAATCATTCAACAGACTCCCTCAGGAAGTAATAGCAACTCCTTGACTGGAGGTGTTTAATAGAGCCTGAATGACCAACTATAGGGATATCATACTTGTGAATTCCTGCTGCGGCCTTTTATTATCACTGTTTGATTGCTTACTCCATGGGTAAGGTGACCAGATTTTAACATTGGTAAAGAGGGACACCATTGACCGGGGGGAGGGGGTTCTATTTTTTTTTTACTACCAGTTCTGTGGGCGTGGCTTATTTTGTGGGCGTGGCTTGGAGGTCATGTGACTGGGTGGCCATGGCTATATGTATACCATATGGACTACTCAGAGGGCTGAAAAAAGACATTTCTGACAGGTCCTCACACTTTTGACTGATCCTCACACTTATGACCATCCTCACATTTATGCCCATGCAGCATTCTTAACAACCATGTCACTCATTTCACAACTGCTTCTCTTCAGCATGGTGATAAGATAGGGCAAAAAACATAAAATGTGAGGACAGTCGTAAATTCGAGGACTGGTCAAAACTGTGAGGACCAGTCAAAAATAACTTTTTCAGCTCTCTGAGTAGTCCATGTGCACAAAAGGACTACCCAGAGGGCTGAAAAAAGTGATTTCTGACAGGTCCTGGCACTTTTTTTTTTTATTGCAAAAGTTTTACAATTACATTTTCACCCCTTTTTTCACCCCCCCACCTCCCTCCCCAAACTTCCCGTCCTCCCTAACCCTCCCTAACCCTCCCCCCCCCAGACTTCCCTATTATGTACTCATAACTAATAACACTGATATATATACCTGAACCCATCCCTCCCCCTACATAATTTTCCCTCTTTGTCTCTTTATATTAAAATATTTCTAATACATTGTTTTCAAATAAAAGCTATTTGATACTTTCTAATTTGGTATTTGTTCTGAACATATTCTATCCACCTTTTCCATTCCCATTCATAAGTCTCTTGTGAACAATCTTTTAAATATGCTGAAATCTTCGCCATCTCTGCAAAACTGGCCATCTTCGAAGTCCATTCCTCGATAGTAGGCAAAGCTTCATTCTTCCAATATTTACCTATCAACAATCTTGCTGCTGTTATCATATACAATATTAATTTTGTTTCATCCCGTGTAAAACCCTTAACTATGCCCAATAAAAACAATTGTGGAGAAAATTGAATTTTTTTCTTCAAAACATTCTGCATGACCCACCATATTTTTATCCAAAAAGCCTTAACTTTCCTACAGGTCCACCAAACATGATAATACGTAGCATCCAAACATTCACATCTCCAACATTTTGGCTGAACATTAGGGTACATACATGACAACTTTTTAGGATCTAAATGCCATCTATAAAACATTTTATAAAAATTTTCCCTCAGATTCTGCGACTGTGTAAATTTAACATTCTGAACCCAAATTTTTTCCCATGTTTCCAACATCACTGGTTCTTCAAAATTTTGTGCCCACTTAATCATGCAATCTTTAACTAATTCCGTTTCTGAATCCCTTTCTAGCAAAACCTTATAAAGCCTTTTAATATGCATTGGACCTTTCTCTCTTATATGTCTAACCAATTCTTCCTCATGCAACATAATACCAGTTTTTTGGTCCTCTTTCCATCTCAATTGTAATTGATTATATTGTAACCAGGTTAAATTAATCCCTTCATCCAACAGTGTCTGCAATGTCTTCAGCTGCCATCTGCCCGCATCTGTAAAAAGAACCTCTTTGTATAAAAACCCCCCGAGTGACATTATATTTGTATTCCACAAGGTATGACCAAGATCCAGCCATAGCGGTATTTTATAATCCCATTTGAGTCGGTGCTTCTTCCAAACTCTCATCAAAGAGTCTCTAAGTATATGACTTTTAAATACTTTATCAACTTTGTCATCATAAAATAGGTAAGCATGCCATCCAAATTCAAGATCAAAACTTTCTGCATTCAATATTCCAGCCTTTTTACCCCCAAACCAATCACTTGTTAAAGTTAAAGCTGCTGCATCATAATATAACTGTAGGTTTGGAAGTTTAAGGCCTCCTCTTTCTGGAACATCTTGCATAATTTTCAATTTCACTCTCGGCTTTTTCTCGTTCCAGACGAACTTATTAAGTCCAGTTTGCCAAACTTTCAGTTGTTTATCACTTTTAAGCACCGGAATCATTTGAAACAAAAACAGAAATCTTGGCAAAATGTTCATCTTAACTGCTGCTATTCTTCCAAGTAAAGACAGTTGCAGCTTTTTCCAAGTCTCCATGTCTTTCTGAACCTCTCGCCACAACACCTCATAGTTATTTTGAAACAATTTCATGTTTGATTCTGCAACCTGAACTCCAAGATATTTTACCTTAGGTACAATTTCAAAACCTGCCCTCCTTTCAAGCTCATGTTTACGATCTTGTGTCATATTTTTGACTATCATTTTAGTCTTTTTTGAATTCAGTCTAAAACCTGAAACTCTACCATAGTCTTGTATAATGTCATTCATCAGGATTGTTGATTCCATTGGTTGTGATAGGGTAACCACCAGATCATCTGCAAATGCCTTTATTCTATAATCCTCTTGCCTTATCATTATGCTTTTCAAAATTTTTGAGTCCCGTATTGTATTTAGCAAGACTTCCAATGTTAAAATAAATAAAAGTGGGGACAACGGACATCCCTGTCTTGTTCCTTTTTCAATTTTAAACTCTGTCGTCAAACTTCCATTAATAATAATCTGTGCTTTTTGCTCTTGATAAATTGCTGAAATCGCCTGTGTAAATTGGTCCCCAAAGCCCATCTTTTTTAAAGTCTTTAGTAGAAAATTCCAATCCACTCTATCAAAGGCCTTCTCCGCATCCAAAAAGACCAGCACTGCAGAAATCTGTTTATTCTTATCAAGATATTCCAATAAGTCTATTACTTGCCTTACATTGTCCTTCATGTATCTACCCTCAATAAATCCCGCTTGGTCCTCATGAATCACCTTTTGGATTACTGGCATCAACCTGTTGGCTAATACCTTCGCATAAATTTTATAGTCTGTGTTCAAAAGAGATATTGGTCTGTAGTTCTCTGGTTTTTTAGGACCAACTTGTTCCTTTGGTATCAAAGATATATAAGCAGTTGTCCAGGATGGGGGTATTTTACCCCCTTGTTGAATATTGCAAAATAAATCTCTAAGTTGTCCCACCATTTCAGCTTGTAAAGTTTTGTAATACACTGCAGTCAAACCATCCGTGCCAGGAGCTTTAGCTGTTTTTAGCTGTTTAATTGCTGCTATTATCTCCTCCTCTGTTATAAGATAATTCATTCTTTCCTTTTGTTGATCAGTAATTTTTGTAACTCTCTTATCCTTTAAATATTTTTCTATAAGTCCATTCTGCACCTCTTCTTTAGCATATAGTTTAGTATAATAATCCACAAAAGCTTCTTTAATTAATTTTTGTTGAAAAATTTCTTTCCCTCCAATATCGATACTGTCAATAGTCCGCATACTTTGTTTTTTCCTCAATGTGTAGGCCAACCATCTGCCCGGTTTATTAGCATTGCAAAATGTATTATGCTTCGCGTATTGTAAACTTGTTGCAACTTGTTCCGCCATAAGCATTTGGAATTGGTCTTTCAAAAGTTTTATAGCACTTCGTATTCTTTCATCTGTTGGGTTTTTAATAAGTAACTGTTCTTTATTCTTTATTTCCATTTCCAACTCAGATCTTTTCTTTTGTCGGAACAGTCTATGTTTAGAATTCATGTAGATAAGTACCCCTCTCATATAAGCTTTACTTGCATCCCAAACAATTTCAACTGGGGTACCTTTATTCAAATTTATTTCAAAAAATTCTTTCAAATGCTTTTTAAGTTCTATTATATTTTTTTCATATCTAAACAAGTTCTCATTTAATCTCCAAGAACGTCTCTCAACCTTATCCATCTCGATTTCTATCCATACAGGACTATGATCAGTCAAAGTTCTTGGAAAAATCTTTGTTCTTTTTGTCTTAACAAGTAGATCATTTGACAACAAGATAAAATCAATCCTAGAAAAGGATCTATGTCTATCAGAAAAAAAAGTGTAATCCAATTCATTTGGATTATGTATTCTCCAAACATCTTTTAGTTCCATATCTTCTTTCATATCAAAAAAGGTCTGTGGTAATCTAATTCTAGACTTTGCCAAGCTCTTTTTATCTAATTTAGAATCAATTACTCCATTCCAATCTCCCATAATTAAAATAGATCTGTAGTCCCATTGCAATATTTTAGTATGTAACATCTTGTAAAAATAATCCTGTTGTTGGTTGGGAGCATAAATTCCAATCAAAAGAATTTGACCATTTGCTGTAAACAATTCAATTGCTACAAATCTACCATCTTGATCTACTTTTATAACTTTTGCTGTTAATTTTTTATTTACATAAATAACCACACCATTCTTTTTCTGCGAAGTTGAAGATATATAATGTGCTCCTAGTTTTGAGTTTATCAAATATTTTTGATCTTGAGTTGTAATATGCGTTTCTTGTAAACATATTATATCATTATTAAATTGTTTCAAATATGTAAATAATTTTTTCCTTTTCTGTGCTGAATTCAACCCATTGACATTCCAAGATAAACACTTAAAGGTCATTAGCCTCTTTCTGGAGCGCAGAGCAATATGCTTGAAGTTCATCCGAGAGCTTCGATCTCGCTCCTCCCATAGCGCCAATCTCTTGTGCAGTGCTCTTAACTGCCTTCTTGTCTTGTCTTTCCTGTTGTTGTTGTTGCTTCTGTTTAAATAGCTTGGATTGAGCTCTAGTTATACGTTGATCTTTAACTTCAGTCAACTGAATCAAATCCAAAATTGGAGAAGAATCCAGCGATGGCTCACTCAGAATACCTCCTTCTGCACCTTGCACATTTTCTAATTCCTGCTTAGACTGTTCTTTCAATTGCCTCTCTTCACTCTCCTTAATCTCCAGAACTGTAGATGTACGTGGAGATGGTGTTCTTTCCTTAAGAATAGTACTGTAAAAGTGTTGCGCCTTCTCCACGGTATTCAACCGATATCCTTCTCCCTTATATCTGAAAATTACCCCAGCTGGTGCATCCCACCGGAAGGGTATCTGTAAATTTTTCAATTCCTTAACAAGAAAACCAAATTCTTTTCTAGCTTTCAGCATTTTAGGAGGTAATTCTTTAAAAATTACAAGCCGTGAGCCCCCCACTTGTATAGAAGTGTGAAAAGATTTTTGCAGGATATCATTTCTAATTTCTCTCTCAGTAAAGTATATGACCACATCTCTGGGTAGTTGTCTTTGCCTGGCCACCCAAGAGTTCACTCTGTAAATTTTATCTATTTTATGAAATACCAAATCAGGATTAACTTGTAAAATCTTAGCCAGGGCTTCAGAGCAAACTTGTCTCAAGTCCTGTCTTTCCTCCTCTCGAATTCCCCGAAGCCGTATGGCAAATTCCATCGCCCGGAATTGTATCATAACAATCTCATCTTCAATTCTCTGCATTTTATTGTCAACTTCATCAATTTTATAATCATTGTCTTTCATCCTAACATTAACTTCTGATTTAAATTCTTCAACTTTAAAATCAACTTTCCCAATAAAATCTGCCAGGCCAGACGCCACTTCTGATATTTTTTTGGTCACCATAATTTGATTCTGTTTCACCATGTCTTTAACTTCATTAATTTCCTGCAAAAATTCCTGATGTGATTTTTGAAGTTCCTGTTGTGATTCTTGAAATTTATCATCCAAAGTTTTAGAAATAAATTCTTTTAAATCTGCCACATCAAATTCTTTTTTCTGAGTTTGTAACTGTTGAGCAGGGGGAAGTTGCGTTTGATGTTTATGTGTGGGGGATCCCCCCCCTGATGCCTTCCCTTCCTGCTTCTTTGAAGCCATCGTGCCACGTAAGCTAGTTTTTTTGAAGAGGGAAGTTCTTTTTCCTTTCCCTCTTCCACAGAAACTTCTAAAAAAGTCCCCCAGATTTAATCAGGTGGAACTAGAATAAAGCAAAGTCAAATTTTAGCAAAAGAAATTTTTTCTTTAGATAGAGCAACTTTGTAGCAATTTTACAACTTTGTAGCAAAGCAGGGAGGCTTCACAAATCCACTTTCACTAGCTCGTTAACTCAAACGCTGGGCGCCATATTTTTTCAAATCACTTTCACTCGCTCACTTTCTCTTTTGATTTAAAAAGTCAACAAAGCACCAATACTTGCAGTTTTCAAGTTTCTGGATTCAAGTTGATATTTCCGCTGTTTGTTAAAATTAATTCCTCTCACTTTAAAAGTTTGCTGCTGCTGGCTTGTTCTGCTGAAGGCAGAATCGTCCCACGCCGCCCGGAGTCTCCGCAGGTTGGAAGGGAGCCACACCTGTTTTCACCCCCAGAAGCAATTCCCTGGGGGGGTTACAGGGGCTCAACCTGTACCCTGCTGTCTCTGCTCCTGCAATCTTCAAGATTTCGGAGTTTTCGAGCCGCACCTCGTTCGCGGGGCGGCTCTACAGGCGGCGGGGCTGGCGGTCTTTAAAAAGTCACCGCCGTCGCCGAAGCTCGCAAACCGGAAGAGGTCATCTATTTTTATATCCATCCTCACATTGGTTAATTATGTAATTATGTAATACAGTTGTTTAATACAAATTCAACATTTTAATATAAATCAATTAGTTATATAACTATCTTTTTTGTATATTAATCAATATGAACATGAATATTCCAATTATTTCCATGCAATCCAATTTCTTACAAATCAATTAATTATATTTACCAATAATAATAAACCAAATAATTTCCCCCATATATTCCTCCAAACCACAACTTAACCATTTCTGCTTTCAACACAATATACAATTAATAGTATCTCAATTATTACAATTCCCTAGTTAAATAGAACTTTTTTTCTTTTGTGTTTTAAAATCTTGAACCTCCTCTTTTGCCCTAAATTTCCCATTGTTTGCAGTTTTGCACCTACCTTTTTTGGTGAAGAAAAAGAAAAAGAAAAAGAAATCTGCCTCATTTTGTCACGTTGCAGCAAAGACCCTGCTTTACTTTCAGTTTCACTTTTTCAGCATAGCTAGGGGAAAAAAACATTTGCTCCAGCAATTTACCTCTTTGCAGCTAGCTAGCAACAGAACCCTCCGCAAAACAGCTGAGATCAAATCAGCTGATCAATTTATGGTAATTAACCTATGCTGAAGCTGAAAGGGGCTGTTTTTTTCTATTTTTGCAGGCACCAGTCTACTCATTTGTTTTCTTTTAACACTGATCAGCTGTATGGCGGCCCTTTGAAGCCCTGCGGCAAGAATTTAAACAGTTTTTTTTCCCTCTAGCCATCAGCTGGGACTCAGCAATAGATTGGGAGTGGGCGGGGTAAGTGAACGGGGACCAGTGATCCAACAGAGGCAGAGGGTGAGGGTGAGTGAAAACCGTATATTCCCTTCCCGTTCTCCCGCCGTTCCCTAGCTTGTCGTGCATTCTTTCCAAAAATCGGGACGTTTATAAAATGCCGCGGGACGCGGGACAAATTGCTAAAAATCAGGACTGTTCCTCCAAAAGCGGGATGTCTGGTCACCATATCCATGGGGAGTAAGACCCATTCCTTTGGCCTAGGTGTCCGATAGACCTATTCAATTTTAGAGGGAATGTGAGGTTGTAACTGGTTGGTACAATTGGGGCCCTGATCAGTGTTTGGAAACAGAGTGTGACAATAGTTTTAGATAATGGATTCCTGGGAACCTAGTTGTCAGATAGCAATTAGAGAAAAAGATACCATAGTAATTCTGGAGGAAGATGAAACTGAATGAAACATACCATGTTTCCCTGAAAATAAGACCCCGTCTTATATTTTTTTGAATCTTGAAATAAGTGCTTGGCCTTATTGCCATGCGCTCAAAAGCCCAATTGGGCTTATTATCAGGGGATGTCTTATTTTGAGGGAAACAGGGTAGGTAAAAGCCTTTATTAAGGATTTTCTCGTGGGTATAAGAATGGCAAATGTTAACTATTCTCTCATTCTTCTCACATCTACAAATTGCCAACTGGCAACCCCATTTCAGCTGACCAAGTCCATCTTGAGGAGAGAGGGGCCTGAGGAACATCTTCAAGGCTATTATGAGGACTATTTGAAGCATTTGACAGATAAAGTCATTCTGATTGTCAACTAAAACTTTTCATGGCAGCCAGCTAGTTAACTGCAGTTATTTCTGCCCATTTCACAAATCCAACAAGGCAGGCATGTTCCCTTCATTAAACAATGTCATTTGATGGGACCTCAGAGATGTGTCTTCTCTGTCATTGCATCTGCCTGGAACACATGGCCTTGACACTACCAGCCTTCTGTAAGATATTGTTTTTCACTCAGGTCATGGTATACATTTAAGTGATCTGTTTGTTATGGATGTATAAGCTGGCTCAGGTGCAATGTATTTTAATTTTTGTTTTGATTATTTTGCTGCTGCTCTTCTTAATTAGATAATAGCTGCCCAGAGTCGCATAGTAAGTAGGTGGCTAGCCAAAATGAACAAATAAATCAGTAAATTCCTACAATGGAAATTACCTTAGATGATCTCCAAGCTTGTTTTCAATTCTTGTATTATAAAATTATGTGATTAGAAATTTAATCATATCTATGTTCACTTAAATCAAAGTCGTAATTCCTCTAATGGATTTACTTTTACATTTTTCTACAACTTCAGCCATTTCCCTGAAAATAAGACCCTGTCTTATATTTTTTTGAACCCTGAAATAAGCACTTGGCCTTATTTTCAGGAAGGTCTTATTATTTTGGGGCGCGTGGAGCAAGACAGGGCTCCTCTTGCTGTCTTACCTGATTTCCAGCTCTGTCTCCCTAACCCTAACCAGAGGAAATGGTGGGGGACTGGCTGTGCATGAAATATTTTTGGGGAGGACTTATTTTCAGGGGAGGGTTTATTTTTGGGGAGGACTTATTTTCGGGGAAACATGGTAGATAAATTAATTTTTCTTCTTGTTTGACTAACTAAATACATTTATCAAAATGCTGAGTTTCCCTTTTTTCTAAGTAAAAGGTATATAGCACTAATCAAAGTGAGATCTATGTGTTTCTCAAGAAAAGATAGAGTAGACAATCTAGGATGTCACATTTCAAGCTTCCCTGGACCCGTAAAGAGATTGCCACTGAGACCTCTCCATACCCTTCAGCATCCTTCGATCACAAGAGTTTGGAAACGCTGGAAACCCAAGACAGCAAAAGGTCTTGTTAGACTGATGTGCGTCAACAGCTCAAGGTAGCTGTTCAAATTTATGTGCTGTCCGTAACGAAATATCAGGTTGCTATCCTAGAGTTATAAATAGCTGTCAAGCCCGATGGACTTCTAGCATCTGAGTTTGATTTGAGATATAGCACTTTTGCCCCAATGCGCCTCACTGAGAATCCACAGGCATATAGCAAAAAGTATACCTCTGAGATTCAGGAAATTATAAAATAAGGGAGATAATTACTTGATTTGCCAGGAGATTTTGGGTAAGGAAAAATAATAATAATTCCCTTAGGCTGTATTTACTTGATTTCCTAAATGAGCAATCATTGAAAAGGGTGGTGAGAATTTATACCAAGGGCTGGCCTTTTGATTTTACTAAAGCTGAAAGTAGATGACCAATGCCAAAATTAGAAGAGAGCACTACTTTCTCTGTGATAGGACCCTTTTATCCATATTCTCTTTTGGGAAGAACTAACTGCCGAGAACAGACATCTCATTCTTAGAAGAATTTCATCCTTGAACAGAAGCTTTTTAATTTCTAAGGGCCATTTGAACCTAATCTTGACACTAAATTTGTCCATATCTGTCAGGCAATAGGATTCTCTTAGTTCACAGCAGAGATGCTCTCATTCTATCCCTCATTCTCTTACTGTGTCCCATGAAGAAAGATTTACTTCATTTAAACTACAGATAAATAAAATCAGAGACAGCTTTTAGACATCCTAAGCAGTAACTGAACCTAATATATGGAGTCCTATTCAACTGGGTTGCCACTCTGCCAATGTATCAGAAATAGTACCCCAAATATAATTTTCAATGCCAAGATTATCTAATCTCTGGGACTGTAATTTTTTAAAAAGATGACATGTCTTTGATCGTAAAGAGATTGTCTGCCTTCTTTCATCAAGGCATCCATCCTTTGCCATCTGCAAAGAGGAATCAGTATTTCCAAAGAAGAATGTCTTGCTGCAAGGCAAGTGTTAACCCTAGCATCTTTTTTTAGAAATGTATCACTGCTTGTGACTAATACAAATTAAGCAATTTGCACTGGTCTGTTTTTTATCACATGCAATGCTCTGCATTTAGAAGTTCAGCTATCTGAGCTAGCCCTAATTTAAAAAGGAACAGATCAAGCACCCTACGCCGAAGCCACTTCCATAAGCTTGCTATGTTTTTACTATTGGTGCATTTCTAAGGCAGCCCCTCTTCGGCTAGGAAATTACAATAACATGTGGTGTATGCTTCTTGAATCCTTCACATCAATGTCCAGCTTCCTTTCTTTGTCCCAAATGCAGCGACAAAATGCCCGGGATGTGACCTGCTCAATGATGGTGGCTTTCCCCCAAAGCACTCCATCTGACCTCAGCATAATGAAGAGAATTAATATGGCAAAGCCACTAACACGGCACCACTTCCCAGCAGCACAGCTACAGCCTCTAATTGATTAGTCCATAAAAAACCTGTGCACTAAATTGAAAGGAGCTGCACTAATTCTCTTTTATGTTAAATTTCTGTCTCTCTCGTTTATCGAATTCTTTGTCCAATGCCCCCTTTTTGCAGCCTATTGTGGGCTTGCTGTGGGCCTGTTTTCCTCTTGGCCAGATTAAGTACCTAATCAAAATCTTGTCTCCTTTAATGGCATAAAATTGAAAGATAGATATTGCACTTTACACAGCTGATTAAACACTGGAATGTGGCTAAATGCTTTACAGGGCTTGTTACATTAACTAACTCTGTCATCTGCCAGCTATCTTATAATTGCATATGCTCATGTTCCTCCTGGTGAAGCCAAGGTAAGGATGCTATTTTCTCCCTGCTTCCTTTTTTTATTCTTCTCCCTTCTCCATGATCACCAAGGAAATAAGGTATCAAAGAGTACCTAAAATCTCCCCCCATTTGGATTGGATGTTGTTGGATGCAAAAGACCACCTGCCTGCAGTTTTTAAAACTGCAGTAACCTCTACCTCTTAATTTTGGCCAAGAAAATAATTAAGTACCTAAATAATCCAAATGATTAAAAAAAAAAAAGACCTGTTGTAACTATGGCTGGATTGTTAGCAGAGGTGGTATTCAGCAGGTTCTGCCCAGTTCTGGAGAACCGGTAACGGAAATTTTGAGTAGTTCGGAGAACCAGTAAATACCACCTCTGACTGGCCCTGCCCCCATCTATTCTCTTCCTCCCGAGTCCCAGATGATCAGGAGGAAATGGGGATTTTGCAGTATCCTTCCCCTGGAGTGGGGTGGGCAGGGCCGGATTTAGATGAAACGAGGCCCTAGGCTATTCCACTTATGAGGCCCTTTCACCAGTGGTGGGATTCAATTTTTTAACAACAGGTTCTGTGGGCGTGGCTTAGTTGGAGGTGTGGCTTGGCAATCATGTGACTGGGTGGGCGTGGCTAGCTGGTCACGTGACTGTGTAGGCGTGGGTAGCTCGTCATGTGACCGGGTGGGCGTGGCTATGTGCATAGACTTTTTTCAGAGGGCTGAAAAAAGTCATTTCTGACTGGGCCTCGCACTTTTGACCGGTCCTCACACTTATGACCATCCTCACATTTATGCCCGTGCAGCTTTCTTAACAACCATGTCACTCATTTCACAACTGCTTTTCTTCACCATGATGACAAGATACAGCAAAAACGTAAAATGTGAGGACAGTCGTAAGTTCGAGGACTGGTCAAAAGTGCGAGGACCAGTCAAAAATAACTTTTTCAGCCCTCTGAGTAATCCATATGCACAAAAGGACTACCCAGAGGGCTGAAAAAAGTCATTTCTGACTGGGCCTCGCACTTTTGACCGGTCCTCACACTTATGACCATCCTCACGTTTATGCCCGTGCAGCTTTCTTAACAACCATGTCACTCATTTCACAACTGCTTCTCTTCACCATGGTGACAAGATAGGGCAAAAATGTAAAATGTGAGGACAGTCGTAAGTTCGAGGACTGATCAAAAGTGCGAGGACCAGTCAAAAATAACTTTTTCAGCCCTCTGAGTAGTCCATATGCATAAAAGGATACAGCAATAGAGAGGGATGAAGGAAGGGAAGGGAAATTAGAGTAGGAGTGAGGGTAAGAGGGGGAGGAAGAGAGGAGGAGAAGGAGAAAGGAAGAGGAAGTAGGGAGGAGAAGAAGAGGGGGGGAAGAGAAAGTAAGAAGGAAAGAAAAGACAGAGGTGATAGGTTTGAGGAGAAAGATTGCTGTACAATAAAAAAGATGAAAGGGAAGAAAGCCAACCCCAAACAAATATAAAGATATTAAGATAAAGAATGAATGGTTAAACTTTAAAGAATAAAAGAGAACAAATATGAATAAATAGCAGTAATTAGAAACATACAAACATACAATTTATTTTCTTTGAACAGAGTATTTGGCCAGTTCACAAATTTAAACAGTGTTTAGTCACTTCAATTAAATTTACAATTTCTATATTTCCTTTTTGCCATATTTATTCCTCATCTATTTTTTTAAAAAAACCAATATTACCCTTCATCCTCATCTCTAATCTTAATCAAATTCAATTTTTCCCTTCTATTCTATATTATACCCCTTTCCATTGTCATCTATTTTTATATCCATCCTCACATTGTTTAATTATGTAATTATGTAATACAGTTGTTTAATACAAATTCAACATTTTAATATAAATCAATTAGTTATAAAACTATCTTTTTTTGTATATTAATCAATATGAACATGAATATTCCAATTATTTCCCTGCAATCCAATTTCTTACAAATCAATTAATTATATTTACCAATAATAATAAACCAAATAATTTCCCCCATATATTCCTCCGAACCACAACTTAACCATTTCTGCTTTCAACACAATATACAATTAATAGTATCTCAATTATTACAATTCCCTAGTTAAATACAGCTTTTTTTTCTTTTGTGTTTTAAAATCTTGAACTCTCCTCCTAAATTTCCCATTGTTTGCAGTTTTTCACCTACCTTTTTTGGGGAGGAAAAATAAAAATAAAAATAAATCTCTCTCTGCCTCATTTTGTCACGTTGCACCAAAGATCCTGGTTACGGTTT